GGAAAGAGAAACCTAAAGAAGAGAATAATTGCTGAGCCTTGTTAAGGTGATTTTGTAGTCTCCCATATAAAAATGTTACACTGCAGAGGTCTGGCCATAGCCCAGAAGTTCCACTCACCTTCTCTCTTGGTGGTTTTATTGAGGAAATATATCCATCACCTATGATACAATAAGAACTTTTTGTATTTGAGGTCCTTGCAGATACACTAATAATGTAGAATTTCAAGACAAGATTCCAATACAGAGTGAAGGTGTTCTGATCATAAATCAAAAACTCCATACCTGACCTCAGTGAATCCACTCTAAGGTAATGCAGCTTTTAAGTTGCATGCACACCTTTCCTGCAGTTACAAGACTGATGGTTACCTAGACAGTTCTCAGGTTGAAAAACCTAATTTAAACAGCTTTTCTAGTCATAAACCACTAAAGCTTTGAGACAAAACAAAACCTTACAGGTCTCCAGTTAAAAATGACACATCAGGAAATGAGTTGCAGGGACAAACCTGCCCCCTGTAAAGGCTCTTAATGTTTTGTGAACATGGTGAGCATCTTCCTCACAGAACAACTGCTGAAGTCAAAAGGGGCCATGGAAACCTGATGGACTGAGTACAGCTACCAATTTACTTAGCTTGATACCTTATTTGTAATTCTCTTGAAATTTATTTATAGTAATCAAAAATAAGAAGGAATTCAGATCGATCCCAGTTTTGTTTGCATGATGAATAAGAGAGAATTTATTTCAAGTCTTTCATCATACAGGCCATTCCAGTCCACTGTCCAGGAGCAATGACCCCCCTAACTGTTTTAGTCACTGGCTACTGCTTCAAGGGAGGTGCCTGCTCCTCCTCTGGGCTGCTGCAAGCTTGGCATGCAGCACTTGTTTTGAAAATAGAGGATCCTAAAAAGACCTGGCAGCAGTGCTACAACAGGACATGGACAACACCCTGTTCCTCAAAGTCCAAGTTGTTATTTTATTCCTGCAAGGAGCAGCATCAGAGAATTAAGAGAACAGCAGCAGCAGAAGAGCAAACAGAGTTAAACTTCTGGTCACCAGAACATCAGGATATGACCTTGTCTGACTTAAATCTCTGCTTGCTCTGCACATCAAGGAAGAGAAGTCCTCTGTCTCCTGAGGCTTTACTAAGTAAGCCAACTCAGTATCAGTCCCTTTCATCAGCATAGGTTAACATATAATTAAACCATCTCAGATAACCTGAGGAACAGAAAGTTAACAAGTGTTGTCTCACAATGCCTGAAGTTCTTTTGACTTCAGCATGAATATATTACTTAATAATTATATTGCTCACTTTTCCATGACAAAAAAAAAAATCTAAAAATATTCAACAGCCTTGGCACTGGAGTGGGATTCAGACAGATTTCTGCCATTCCTGGGGGAAGACTTTTGTTTTTTTCTAAAAAGATGTTTAATGTTTTTTAAAAATACTTCCACATTCATTCTGCCTTCACAAAGAGGACCCAAGAAGCTTTGCAGGGAGCCTCCTCAGTTTAGGCCATATGAACATATCTGTAGCTAGACAAAAGCCATGCAAGGAGATGTCTCCTTAAGTCAGTTAAAATCAGCCAGATCAGTGTGTCTCCTAAAGTTAGCACCAGATCAGTCCTAAAGTTAGCACCGGATTCGTGTGCTTCCTGAAGTTAGCACCACATCAGAATTGTGCTCAGATTCTCCAGTACATTCCAGCAGGAAAAGAAGCAAATGTTAGTAGCAGACTTCAGAGGCAAGGCCAGCCCCATCTTCTCATAGCAGCAAGTTTCTGATCACCTCATTCATCACAATTCTCCCTCTTACTCAAAAATGCTGTGGGAGAAAGACAGTGATGCACAGGGATGAACACAGGCAGATCAAAATCAAGTTTCTCCATCAACCACATCTAAAGCATTAGTGCTTTATTAAGTGTAAAATAAATGTTGGGAAGAAACAGCCTAAAAGATAAGGAAAACAGCAGCAGCAGCAGGATTCCTCCTGGTCTTAATCATAATTTATACTGGATTAGAAGGGACCTATCAGGATCATCAAGTCCAGTTCCTGGCCCTAGGCAGGACACCCAGGAGTCACACCACGTGCCTGAGAGCAATGTCCAAACACTTCTTGAACTGTCAGGCCTGGTGCTGTGACCACTTCCCTGGGGAGCTGTTCCAGTGTCCAACCACCCTCTGGGCAAAAAACATTTTCCTGATGTCCCACCTAAACCTCCCCTGATTCATCTTCATGCCATTCCCTTGGGTCCTGTCACTGGTCACAGAGTGCAGAGCAGTGCCTGCCCTTCTGCTTCCCCTCATGAGGCTGCTGAAGACCACAATGAGGTTTCCTCTCAGTCTCCTCTTCTCCAGGCTGACCAGAGCGAGTGACCTCAGCCATTTGTCAGAAGGCTTCTCCTCCAGTCCCTTCACCATCCTCGTGGCCTCCTTCAGACACTCTCCAACAGCTTCATATCTTTTTTATATTGTGGCACCCAAAGCTGCCCCAGCCCCAAGCAGAGCAGGACAATCCCCTCCCTCGCCCGGCTGGCAATTCTGGGCCTGGTGTCCCCAGGACAGGGATGTCCCTCCTGGCTGCCAGGTGCAGAATTCAGCACTTGAGAAAATCCTATAGAACCACAGAATCACAGACTGGACTGGGTTGGGAGGGACCTTAAAGATCACCCAGTTCCAAGCCCCCTACCACAGGCAGGGACACCTTCCATCAGACCAGGTTGCTCAGAGCCCCATCCAACCAGACCCTGAACACTTCCAGGGATGGGGCATCCACAGCTTCTCTGGGCAGCCTGTGCCAGTGCCTCACCATCTTCTAAGTGAAGAATTTCCTGACTGAGGACTGCAGCAACCAAAGCAATGCATCTTATCAACAGATGGAAGCTTGAGTGGACAAACTGCCCCTGAGTGTTTCTGGGGTGAGTAGGTCCTTCTCCATCAGCTTCCAGCACTAGGTCCAAGCACCATAGCCTTTCATGTGGAGTCTTGCTAAAAAAAAACCTGCTTAATCCATGAAGTAGAAGAACATATTTAAAGGTCTCCTGTGAAGAAGAAATTTGTCCATTTTTCATCTTGTATGTGTTATTGCCAAAAAATAAAATGCTAAAATATTTACAGAGCTGTTAGTTAGCCACAGCTTGGTGTCTCAGTTCCCTACAAGACTTGGCAAATACCTGAAAAACTGATGCTTTAAAACTGAAACATGCCCTTTTTTGAAACCAGCCAAGTCTTGGAAGAATTACACAAATTCAGATACTGCAGGATTAGCAACTGACATATGGCAGAATAAATTAATCCATGGTTTCCTTCTGAGCCCCAGTTTTAAGAGGCTGGTTCTGGCATTGAGGACAATGTCCTAAGATCTACCCAGTGCATGCATACAAAAATAAAGCGGTTGATTTCTAATAAAGGTGGTTGTTGTCAGGAAACCTGTGAAGTCTGATCCTGATGAAAGACTATAGTGTTGGCATACCTAACTTTGTTGGGGACAAAACTCCCACTGTATACAAAATAGTTATTCAAAATTGCACTGTCATAATTAAAGGATTATCTAATGTGATTGTGAAAGGGTCTGCCATGGGCCTGTAACTATTTTTCATGTGCTTGGTGTTAAGAGTCAAATGCGGGCTTGAGTTTGTTTGGAACGGGTTGCCCAGAGATGCTGTAGAGGTCCCACCTGTGGAGATGCTCAAAACTGGGCACAGTGCTGGGCAGCCTCCTCTGGCTGACCCTGCTGAAGGAAGACTGGACGATCCCCAGAGTTGGTCCCTCCAACCTCAACCATTCTGGGACTGATTCTGTGAAACAGACTGAACTAGAAAATGGGTAAGAATCAGAGAAAAGGGGTTACCATAGACCAAACTGAAAATTATTTGCTGCCAAAAAACAACAATCCAAAACAAAACAGAAATCTGTCTTCTATATGCCACTTTGAGAAGATCTCTGCTGGAAGGCCATTTCTAGTTTTGAGCACCAGATTTCAGGATACAATAGGTCAGCAAAAGAAATCCTCATCAGCAGAGATCCTTAACAATCTAGGAGGAGTTTAACCTAGAAACAAGAGGCTGGAGAATTGTATTCAAGCACTAGACTTGCAGAGATGAAGGCAATAAACTGCCCATCTGCATTCTCTGTGCAAATATTGGTCAAACATAAAAAAAAACCCAACAAAACAAAACAAAAAAAAAAAAAACACCAACAAAACCAAACTACATCAAAAAACACAAAGTGCCCTAGATTTCCTCCAGAAGTTGTTCAGCCTCCACTACAGGCTTCTGAGAACAGATAAAGCACCTCCAAGGAGGTGACAGTGGCATATTGGAGACATGGCAGAGAGGTATGGGAGTATTACAGCTTCCAGATCCCTTGCAGCCCTTTTTAATGCTTGCATGAAATGACAGAGCTTTGAGGAAGAAATATTTCACTAAAAGGTTCAACAGAGTCTGAGGTAACCACCTACAGCTACAGCTTCCTATGCCTTTATCTATCTCCTTCGTTTTCACAGGTAAACTACCATTTCACAGAATTCATTAGATCAACACTATCCCTGCCTCTTAAAGGACTAAGCTTTAATAGCTGGGCTCATCGAGAAGTAAACAGTTTTGTGACCCACGTTACACAGGTCAGGTAGGCCTAAAGGTTTCCTTCACTCACACTGCTAAGACATACATTTCTGATAGCTAGGAGTTACAATTTGGCTTACAAGACCAAGTGAGATGGTCTAGTTTACTTGAGAAGGCAACCTCTACTGAGAATGTGACCAAGGAAAGATAAATACCCTGTATACATAAAGAATTCTGAATATAAAGAAAACATCTTCTTTATAGTCACCTCAACAAAAGAAATTAGGCGCTATAAGCAAAGAAAAAAGAATCTCCAGGTCAATCTAGAATCTTCAGGCATCTTCCAGTTTCTCCATTAATAATCAAGATAAAAATATTTTAAAATTGTGATGCGAGTTTTCACTTTCTCTCTCGTCACACAAGATACAAAAAAAAAAAAGAATATTGGCAATTTATAAGCAAAATTCTTACCGCATTTCAACATGCAACATTGGTCTCACTTCTGTACGATTAAATAGACTATTTACACACAATACATATATATCTCTCCCTCTGTATGCACATGCATTGGTCCTAGCCTAGGCATCAAAGGCCACATGTGAGTTCTCTGGGTCAAATCTTGCTCAAGCAATTCCAGTCTGAATGTGTGTTGTCCTTTGGATAGCTGAGGATCTCAGTTCTTCCGAATGTCGGCGTAGACCACAGACTCTGACTTGTTGATCTTGTCGCTGTGCTGTCCCCCGGAGTGATCTAACTGCGCGTAAATGACTGGGCCCTGGGGACACAAGGAACAGGCACAGTCAGGCTTTTTCAGAACTGCCCAGCCTGCCCCTCACTTCCATGGGGCTGCAGCAAGATGAAAGCTAAAGCAAGACCACAGAGCTTTTATGACTGTGAACGGCACTTGGAAGCAGGTGGAATGAACCCTCAGCTGCACATGAGCTCTAGTCTGCCACCTTTCTCCTCTCAGGAGCATGCCAAACAGCACCCTTGCCTCCCTCCAAAACTGCCTGCTGTCACACAAAGCAAAATCTAGGATCCCTTGCTCTGAAAAGCAGCAATTCTTGTGTGCTATGTAGCAAAGACACGTGGCTTAGTCAGATGCATGCCAGATTCAATATTGTTCAGGAGGAAAACCCTACTAGAGGTTTACCAGTCAACAGCAGAGTGTACTTCCCAAACTGTAAATCCCAGCATGGCTGTGCCAGTTGGATAACGAAGCTGCAGCCACCCTGTGACTCAGGTCACTGCCCAAGCCAGAGATGGGGCCAAGACTTAGACAGCAGTGAGCCAAGAAGTGCTAAAATGGTGCAGCAATACAGAATTCTTACCTGACCTCGAAGCCAGCCCAGACAGCAGCAGCTCACAGACACCTTGGGCAGGCACGACCTCACACCTTTGTGACATTTGCTGGGGTGCAGGGGAAGACATTACAGCCCTGTTTTTCAGCTGAACATGTGAACACTTACTAAAACACCACATCCTCTAAAACATAGCCCAGGGAAAGCCAACTGCAGCTACTGAGGACAGGACTGCAGCCTCCACGGAGCAGAGGTCCAGCAAGGCAGGTGGCAAGAGAGCTGCAGCTGCAGCTCCCATGCTGAACCCCCCAGGTGAGACAAGCACAGGGCTGCCACCTCCTCCCAATGGGCTGTCACCACACACTCATGCAGGAGGCAAAGGAACTGTGCTACCTCAGGATGACTGGGGGGGGGGGGTGGGGAATAGAGAGCTTTTCATTTGTTTGTGGCTTTTCCAGCAGTTTTTCCTTCAAAACTTTTCATCTATTTAACGGTTCTGGTGTCCCTTACATCCCAGGAAGAAGTAGCCTTCACTGGCACTTCTCTACCCCCTTCTTGCCAGTACTTTTGGAATCCTGACAAATTAGAAAACATTTGTATAGACCTGACACAGAAATTTTTCCATCTATTTTCCAAAGCAATTATGAGCCAGAGATGACCTTCTATACAGACAATTAAGCCCGTGAAGGACAACAGAGACCTTCCTGCACAGCTATTTCCCCCCCTAGCACAGTGGCACAGCTCACACCTGACAAATACCTTGTTCTCTTTGAGAAGTGATTTAAATCCACATTTTATTCCTTCTGGGTAAAGTATTTCCAAAGTTATAAAGCATAGAGGAAGAAGATGGACTGAAGGGTGAAAACTTGCAAGAAATATAAACAACACACTAAGAAAATGGGGAAAAAAAAGGACCCTGATGTCCTAGAAAACTCTGGATTTCAAATCTCATTATAGCCACTTCCTAAAAAAAAAAAAAAATCTCTGCTATTTGCTTTCATGTTGTTCTGGTCTCCAATACTGTATTGAGATTTCTAATTCCAATCAGATCACAGTATCTATATAAACTTCAAGGAGAAGTAACCCTGAAGTTTAACTGCAAGCAATTTTGGAAATCTCATCTGCCTGAGGCCAAAGGTTAGGGTATGATAAATTCAGCTTGAGAGCACTATCAGTTAAAAAAAGATACAAAAATAATAAATCTAACTGCAGAAAGTACTCATTGTGACATTCCAAGTTTTGTTCAAGTAATTCTGATGGGTCAATTGTCTAGCAGTGGAGTTCACTCAGTATCAGTTACCACTGTAATGGATTTTTGCAGTTTAAATATAGTCACTGTGCTGCAAGCAGCATGTTAGTGGTGTGGGGACACTGCTGTGATCAGCTGATCCAAACCCAGCTATCACTGTCTCAATGTGTTCACTGTCAGTCACCTAAAAAAGTGGTAGATAGCCAACACAGAGACAAGGAGGGACCAAGGATTTATTGGTGTTCATCTATTTGATTTGCTGCCAACTGATTCTCTAGCTGACTATAAGCATTCCATTTTAAAAACTGTCTAAATAATTCAGAACTTTCATCTAATCCCAAGTAAGCTCATCCTGACTCTTCAGAACCAGAAGATAGACCAGCACTGCTATATAAAACCAGCATTTCCTGAAGCCTTGCAATTTTTCCATTCAGAATTGAAGGGAAAAGATCAGTAGGTGTACCTGCTAAGGGTTTATCAGCAGAGTCACGAATTGCAAGTTACAAAAAAGAAAAAGGAATTACAAAGTTAGATCACCATGGTCCAACAGTAGTCTGCAGAATTTTCAAATTTCTCAGATTCTGAATGATGTTGCAACTACCACAGATTCAGGCTCTGGGAAAGTTATCTGAAATTTCAATCAAGATTCTTGGCATTGCAAACTGCTCCTTCTCAGGGTCCTGGGATCCAAACAAAAACATCCACGCGGGAAATCCAAGTAGTTCTTGCCTGCACTGTAAATTGTTTCTTACCCACACAAACAAGTCATGGTAGAACAGCAGGCACTAGAGAATGATGGCACGGACAAGAACCACCACAGACAAATCTGACAGGACAGAACATACCTGCTGAGAAGGAGGGCACAGTGAAAACAAGCAGAGCTGATTCAAGCAGCTGAACACTCACAGAATCAGATATGCAAACCCCAGAAAGTAAGGTCCACACCTGAGTAACTTGCACTCAAAACAAAGGAAGTGCAGTCTCAGTGCACTTTCAGCTGTGATGCAGACAAATACTCCATTAATAAACTTCATTTAATTAATTTAAATGCCACTTTAAGAGCAAACACCTCTGTTACTGTTTCTAACTTGCAGAGGCAGTTTTGTTTGTATTCACAGTTCATTTCCACCAGTGAGTACAAAGCATTCATTCACTTCCTACACACCCTACCTTGAAAAAAAGCTACAAGGAAGACCACAGGCCTCTGCTGTTTGACCACAGCACTGACTGTGGGAGCCACTGGTCTAAAACTGCAAGGCATTCCAAGAGACAAGAGTGTGTGCCTGAATCAGCAAACAGCCTGTGACAGCTCTGGGAACTGCTAGGAATGAGTATCTGCCTTTCACCTGCACAATACCTCAAAAGCTTGAATACTACAACTCATTTCTTGATTACCAAGTAACACCAGATTTTACTTGTATGTGATGAAAGATTTCAAATATGTTGATTTGCATGCTGATATGACCCTTAAAGAAACAACCAAACAATGGCTAGAAGCTGGCAATGTATGTGTAATCAACTGAAATTTAGCTTCCTCACTTGTTTAAATGTTCTGTTCAAAATCTGATCTACCCTGGTTTCGCTGTGGATCTTTGTAAAGAACAGTAAATATGTTTTGTTGTTCTGTAAAAATGGGGCAAATGCTCAACAGGAGATAGAGGAACTACTTGCTGCTACAAATGTCTGCCACAAAAAGAAACTCTGTTTGTCTGACAAAAGAGATTAAAAATCCAAAAACTAAACTAAAACTGAACAACACAAAAGCCATTTGCAATTTTTTTCAGTTGAGGTCAGCAGAGTTCATGCTTGGTGTTTTCCTTTAGGAACTTACCTGCAGGGAGAGCTCTGTCAATGAAGAGATAGACTGGAGTGACTACAGAAAGGCAAAAGCACCCTGATTCTGAGTAAGTATCACAAAGTTTTGATTTACTCTGCTGCTCCTTCCAGCACACTGAGACTCAGAACCCTGGGGACATCAAAAGGTGAGGACACCACAAGTTTTCACACCAAAACATTCGAGTATTTTTGCTTTTAAGATGTAAGCACAGAACAGCATCTGTGTGTAGCTCTCAGGGCACTTGCAAGTACTCCTTAATGCCATGACAATAATTAGATAAAACTTTTTGGGTTTTTCACCTATGGATGTTGATTACAACAACTACCGTATCAGAAATCTCACCATGCTGGTTTTGCAAAATCTTTTTTTTGTTGTTGTTGTTGGATTTTTGGGGTGTTTTTTTGTTTGTTTGGTGTTTGTTTGTTTGGGGTTTTTTGCTTTGTTTTGTTTTGGGGTTTTTTGGGGTTTTTTTCTTTTTTGAAGGGAGGATGGTAGGAATCATCTGTCTCATTCACCCATTCCAGAAGCATCTCCTATGATCTAGAAAAGACAAGTTTTATCCAGGCCTTACAGGCAGCCTGCTCATACAAGACCTATTCCAGTCAAAATCTGACTATTTTTAAATCCTGATTATATAGCCTCTGTGAATAACTGATCTCTGAAGGCAGAAGGCAGCTTTGTGGGCTTGTGTGCTAAAACTTTGGAAATACTGCATGGCCCAGAATACAATACATTTCAAAACTAAACCAGATGCCTAGGAGAGTAGGAGCTTTGACTTTACTGAGGTGACATTTGGTTTTTTTTTTTTTTCCTGTATTGTTAATACATTAACACACATCTCCATTATTTTATCAGGAGAAATGAAGAAAACAGGTACTGACTTGCACACACTACACGGCAGCCACCTGCTAAAAGGTGGGTAATTAAGAAAAAGTCCATTTTGAATTTAAACTCTCTCAGGACCTGTATCTTCACAGGAAAATTGCTAGGAATACTCAAATCAGGAGGAAAGAAACAGCTTCCAAATAAGGAAATCCTGTACTACTAACAGGTAATGATCCGTTGCATAGAATCCCTGTCTGACTCCTGCTCTGTCCCCTCCCATGGGATGCTAAGTCTGGATAAAAGCCACTTTTCCCCTTCAAAGTCAGCAGAACTCACCAGCTGCAGCAAGCACAAATACTGGCACTTTCAAGCCCACAAAAGTTGGGAGGTTCAGCAGAAGAGAGCTCTTAGCAGCACAAATCATCTGCAAACTGGTCAGCACCTGGCTCCTCCCCTTGTGAAGGAAGTACCATGGGGCATGAGAGTGCAAGACAAATTCTTCCCCATTACCATCCCAGAACAGACCAGGCAGCTTTATGGGGTGATCCATATCTGACAGACACTGTATTGTGTCTGTGCTAAACAGATACTCACTGACCACTCCCCATCTTTGCCCTTCACTACACCTCTGTATGTTAATGCACAAGATCACAACTGTAGTTTTTTATAATTTAGTATGAAAAGGGTGTAAAACTCCATCTCAGCTAATATATGAAGATGCTGCTCTTTGAATTGCACCAAGCCTTCTACAGCAGAGCTCACCGGTCCCAGCTTCCTGCTCACCCCTTGTGCAGCGCACGCACTCTCACCAGCAGACAGCCCCTAATGCACGAATCCCACCCTGCCTGGATGTTGTCCACAGCAGCTGCCCCAGGCTGGGGGAATCCTTCCTCGGGGAGCAGCAGGAGCAGTTTACCTGGTGTGATCTGGCGGGCACGCTGTTTACCAGGCCCTCTGTGTCGGAGGGCGCCTTCTGCGGAGCTTGCTTAACCGGAGACATCAAGCTCTCAGAGGTACTGCAGCTGACGAGGTGGCAGAGCAGAGTTTGCACGACAATGTTCAAGAGGCACACGAAAAACAAAACAAAACAGAACAAAACAAAAAGAAAAAAAGACAAAAGAAACAAAAACAAAAGACGAATGATGGCAAGATGAAATGTGGCAGGTTACGCCAAAGTAAAAAAATGAACATAATGGACTCTGAAATAAGCACACACAATTCTCCATCTCTCCCGAGACATTTCTCTGTCATTCCTCTGAGTTTGACTGGTAAGCAACAGGAAGGAGCAGCTATTAACATAGGGCAGCAGCTCCTCCACAACCCCTGGTCCTTAGATACTCCCATTCAAATCAGGCTCTCTAAAATAATGTGTTTTCTTCTCAGTTAACAGTGGTAAATAGCAATTATCTTCTAACTAAATGCTAAACAATGCTGGCCACTGAGGTAAATGTTGTACCAGTGTTACAGTTAGAGCCAACACTTGCAAGAGCCACCAGCTCTCTAAACCAGCAAGGTACTTCCTACCCAACCCTGCATTAGTTCCCTTGCTTTCATAGTTAGGCTGTGAGCCCAAAATAATTCTCAGAGCAGACACCAGTCTGTGGAACAATTACCTCAAGAATCACACAGGATATTTATGCTACCTGCCCTTACATAGCTACTTGAATACCTAATCAGTCAAATCTTGGTTTTCAAACCAAAGAACAATCTTGTGGTGAGAACCAACACTCCTAAAATAAAGCTCCTGGTTTTCACCTTCTAATTGCTTTTTTTTTTCATCTGCTTAAAGCAGGACTAAAAAGAAAACAAGCCTGTGACAGAAAAATGAGTACCACAGAGCAAATGCCCTTAAAGTTGGTGACTTTTGGGCAATGCAGTGATGGGTCTCTCACTGCTATGTCTACCTACTTGCACCAAAGCACCCCGGAGAGTTAAGCAGCCATCTCCTTGGCAGCAGTCACAGGTGTGCCCTCTGCTACAACCCTCTGACCACTGGGCATTCTTTCCCTCAGTCTTTGGAGACAGTGTATAAATTGAGTACAGAAACAAAAGAGGACAGTGATGTTAAGCAGACCACCTCCTTGCAGGGCAAGCATTTTTCACCCTTTGGTAGGTCTTACCACAGCAGATTTAGCTCTTCATACATGCAGCTGTTAGAATTAGAACAAAAATACTGCTCCAGCCATCATGGCAAGGGGTTGTGACTGTCTCAAAAACAATGTATCCCTTCTGTTACCAAAATTATGTAGTCATTATTTGTTTTATTCACAAAACTCCTCAGATCTATACTATCTAAATGTAATCATTCAGGTTTAAGCAACTAATGTATTTAGATCCCTGCAAGTTTTCCAACACCCAAGCTATCTGAGCCAGAGGAACAATTACAGGGAATTTACTTTTATTTTGACACAGAAAGAGCTCTGAATTTCCTGTGGTTTAGTCAATGCACTGGCAAGTTCACTGTTGGAAGAGATGGAGGGACATTATCTGGGATAAACAACAACTCCACCCCAGTCAGACACGAGACAATGAAACCCAAGCACCCAGTGAAATGCATCATCCCTTTGCCAACAGATTCCAGCACAAATTACAGTGATATTAGTAGAGAGCTAGCTGGTTAGTCAGCAAAGGAAGAGGAAATGTGTACACACACAGGTATTAACAGCAACCACCAACTTGATTAGTTACCATGGTGTCTAGTGGGACTGGAAGAGAAGACCCAGCCCTGTTACATTCCCAATCTGGCGTCTATATCAGGATCTCTGTAAGGAGAGGAAGGTAAGCAGGATCCGATCCCAGCACACCAAGGCAGAAAGAAAAAAAAAAACAAAACAAAACAAAAAAAACCACCAAAGTCAGAGCATGAATGGAAACTGTGGCCATGCAGGGGTTCCAGATGCTACACAGGGCCCCAGCCCACCTCAGTTCAAGGCAGAATGGTTATCTAGGAGTAAGTGCTTCTCTCCACCACCACACACTGGGTTAGCATCATGTAGAAGACAGTCCGTAAGTTTGGAGGGGGTCACAGCGCACGTGGTTTCTTTCTACACATCATGCAGAGCTGGCATGGTCAGTGAAAGCAGGATTTACACCTCAGAGATTACTTTCCCAAGAGAGTAGTTAAATCTGCTACAAGAAATCACAGTGCATGAACTACTGCTCCAGGCTCAGCACCAACATGTGTCCTCCAGCAGGAAGACACTGGAGAGCAGGTCAGTGGGAAGCAGGGCAAGCAGGCCACCTCAGCTACACTGCTGGTGCATGACACTGCAGGGTTCTTTTCAGTTCTTAGGGGAAGGACACATGCAGAAAGGGAAAACCAGGCTTTCCACACAATTCTGAGCACACACAGCCACCCTTGCTGTATTTAGCCTTACCATTGGGCAATAGCCAACTTTGTCTAAGCTCTCCAACTGGGAAAAGGACAGGGCAAAGTTTAATTTGGAAATTCCCACAAGCTTATTTTTGGAGTTATTTTCTTTTATCCCACAGGCAACCCAAAGAACCTGCAATAAGCAGGAATATTTGTTGGGCAAAGAACAGAAGAAACTTGTATGTTTTGGGGTTGTTTCTAAGACTACATACATAATTTTCATTCTTTCTTAGAGAAGTAAATTACCAGCTAATTAGAGAGGAGAAAAAAGGAAGCATCTCCTCCACCAGCAACAAGTTTCATCATCACAGGACTCTCATCTGGCTTTGTCAGTTCTTGTTGCTTTTTCATATGCCCACTCAAAGAACTGTGCTTCATTTTGGAGTTATCCTCCTAACACTAAAAACCCTGCAGGGATGGTAACAGTTAACAAAAAACAGACAGTGAATGCAGAGTGGCTACTCTTTCCTTACTTTCAAGTGTGGTGATGAAGGGGTTTTTGGCAAATATTTTGGTCCAGGCTTAGGAGGTAGACACTGGTAACAGAAAAATCTAGTCCTGATCTCAACACACAGCATTCCTTGAAAGTGCACATGTGGTGCTTTTCCTTTGGAGGTGGTAAAGAAAGGAGAGCTGGAGGGAAGGGGAACAGACCAGAGCTAGGGGGTCTTGGATTAAATGCTCTGAGGGCATATATCCTTGTGTCTGGGGATCAACTTCAACACCTAGTGATTTTGGGGTGCAACTCATGGTCAGTAGGTCTCTTCAAGCACAGTACAGAGATAACCACTAAAGGCAGATGATCACAGTTCCACATGACCATACCTATCTCTAGCTGTGATTGCCAAGGCTTGGCTGAAACAACTCCTACCCCCCTTTAAGCCCTCCCTCTGATCCTGCTGCTGTTCCTCACATCAGCCACGGGTGAGGAGGGAGATCTCTTACCCAGAGTATCGTTTTTTAGAGTTGTTCTTTCTGATGACAAGACACACGACAATAGAGATGAGCGATGAGAGACCTGTAACCGTACCGATGGCTATCCCTGCCACGGTGGCAATGGGGAACGCAGGCAGGCTGTCTGCGGAGAGAAGGGAGAAAACATTCAACTCTTCTGCATTCCCTGCTCAACAGAAGTGCAAACCACAAATGCCCTTGAGCCTGGATTCGTTTAGAGCAGGACGCACTAGGGTAATACCCAGAAATTACAGCATGCAGCCTAAGTGGCAGTGGCAGCAGGCAGCCAGCAGAGTAACATGAACAGAGCACACACCAGGAGTGTTCTTAGTGTCACCGTCCTTCAGGAGAGAGTTCATGTTGAACCAAAAATTTTTACACGTCAGGGAACACAAGTGACAATGAGGACAACCCTGTCTCATATTGTATCTGAAGGGGAAAAAAACCTGGTTACAGCCATCTGGCAATTCCCAGCTAGGTCAAGAGGAAAAGGCAGGCACGCTTGAAAGCAGATTTGGACACAGCACATTGCTAACCCACTAGGAGTGCTGAATACTGGGTGTTCTCCAGGGAGCATGCAGCACACAGCAGAGCTCCTACCCAGGATCACTCTTAGCAGTGTTTATACATTACTCTGGTGTCTCAAAACACAGCCCTGTACATTTTTATAGACTCATTTTTTCCCTTCTTAGGTCAGGATCAAGGATCATTGTACAATACCAGGAAAACACGTAGAAGAACACAGTATTGCTTTACTCACGTTTTCCCTAATATTATTTTGGGGGAAGAGTAGGCCAAAAAAGAGCAGCCAGAAACAAAAGCCAATCAGAGAATGAGTACAAAATACCTACAAGTCAAAGAATACACAGACTACCATTACAAATGAGAAACAAAGTCCTTTCCTTCCCCCCACATCATGGTTAACACAAGGAACATCTCAGGCCAGAGGGCTTCTTACAAGACTCCATGCTACTCCAGCTAGTTATACCAAATACAAGTGAATCAGCAAAAGATACAACAGGTAAAATCTACACCTATATAGAAAAATCTGTCTCAGACACCTGCATCTGATTATCACGGAATTATTGATGATGGAATGGATGTCTTGAGATTGTCTAGTCCAAACCCCCGCCTTAAATTAAGCAGGGTCAAGTAGCAGAGTTTGCTCAATACTCTGTCCACTTTGGATTTGTCTCCAAGGATGGGAGACTCTTCAGGCAGCCTAGCTGTCATGGTTTGACAGTGGCCCAATGCCAGGCACCCACAAGAGTCACACACTCACCCTCCCCTGCTGGGGGAATGAGGGAAAAGGAAAAAAATGTTAACAAAGGCTTCATGAGTGAGATAAGGACCAGAAGTATTTCAAGAGCACAACAGGTTCAACTGTAGTTTCCAAGTGAAATGTATTACAAACAGAATCAGAGAAGGATAATGAGAAGTAAAAGAAGCCCTTAACACACCTCCTCCCCAGCCCTTCCCTCCTTCCCACCAACAGCGTAGGGAGACAGGGTGGGGAGGGTTTGGTCAGTCCATCACCAAGATCTTCTTCTGCTGCTCTGGGACAGGAGTCCTTCCCCCACGAGGCTCTGGGGTCCCTCCCATGGGAGACAGCTCTCCATGAACTTCTCCAGAGTGGGTCCACTCTCACGAGCAGCAGCCAAACTGCACCTGCTACAATGTGAATTTCCCCTATGGGCAGACAGTCCTCCCAAAACTGCTGCGACATGGATCTCTCTTTCCATGGGGTGCAGTCTTTCAAGGACAGGCTGCTCCAGCCTGGAGGCAGGGCCCCCTCTCTCCACCGGGTCTTCCACTGGATCACAGCTCCCTCCAGGCATCCACACTCTCTGGCACGGGTACCTCCCACAGGGGCTGTGGGTGGATGGACCTTTGCATCCCCCGTTGATCTCCATGGGCTGCAGGGGCACAGCTGCTTCACCAGGGCCTGCACAGAAATCTCAGCCCCAGCATCTGGAGCACATCCTTCCCCTCCTTCTCCACTGACCTGGGTGTCTCCATGTTGTTTTCCTGCACATATTCTCACCTCCTCCTCTTCTCTGACTAGGAGCAAAAACCCTGTGACCTTGTTTTGATTTTCTTCTTAAATATGTCATCACAGAGGCGTTACCAGCCTCTCTCATTGGCCCAGTTTTGGCCAGCAGCATGTCCATCTTCAGAGCCATCAGCCATTGGCTCTGCTGGACACGGTGGGAAGCTTCCAGCAGCTTCTCACAGGAGATATCTTTGTGGTCTCCTGCTATATAAATGCAGGCTGTCCCAACCCAACACACTAGTCCAGCGTTCAAGCACAGTAAAAATGTGGGGGTTTAAGTGCAGACAGAATTGCCTAGGTTTGAACTTATGCCGATTATCTCTTGTCCTGTCACTGGGCACCACTGAAGAGCCTGGCTCAGTCTTCTTTAGCTGCTAGCAATGTACATGAATACCTGGTAAGAGGATTCTCCAGAGTCTTTCTTCTCTTTTGCAGGCTAGATCATACCTCCTTCTCTTCTGCAGGCCAGACAATCCCAGCTGCCACAATTTCTCCTCATATGAGAGCTGGAATACACTCTTGACCATCTTTGTTGCCCTTTGCTAGACTTGTTCCAGCAGGGACAACAGACCAGCAGCACCCTGAAGGCAGGGCATCATACTGAGAAAACAGGGCTTACATTTAGTCCTGTTCCTTTGGAATTCACTGACTTTCAGCAGAAGGGCTACCTGACTTCTGGCTGTTTCACTGACCATAACATCATTCAGCCAACCATCACAGCAGCAGCTTTCCTGGCTCTCCAGTGTGATATGCCACATCATAGCAACATGGAAATTCAGAGTTTTAGTAAGAAATTAAAAATGAAGATATGAGCGCCACAACGTAGAGGAAGACATTCTATCCAGAACCTTTCAGCAGCCCAGGGATCCATCTGCTATTAAGGAAGAGAGTCCTACAAGCAGTAATATTCAGATATGTAAGATATGATTGCACTTGAGGCCCATGCAAAAATGAAGTAATTTATTTTGAGGCATATAAGAGTTCCCTAGTTTCTGTGCTTTTTCACCTTTCAAGAAGTGCAGGAATAACTGTCTGTAAAAACATCAAAATAGATTATTTTACAGACAGTTATGAAATGCTATGCATTTCTGCATTAGCAGACCTGTTGCTGCCTTGTGCACCAGAAAACACATTTTATCAGAGCAAGGAAGCAAGTGACAATCCAAAACCATAGTGCAGAGTACCTACTGAAAAAATGTTAGAACTGATCATTTTGTCACTTCTTTGACTCATTAGGGTCTTTTTTGGTTGGTTGAATCTGAGTGATGGACAGCAGTTAGATCCTGTTAGCAAACATTTTTGAAGACTGTATTTAAAAAATGCTAGTGTTTGCTTGTGAAACTAAGAGCCTGGCTTTATTGCTTTTCAGAAAATCGTTGCTATATTTTCCATTTCACAGTTACACAAATTCTTCGTAAGTACTTCCAGAGCAGCCAATGACTTCATTAGGAAAAACAGCCACAGTTAAAGCGCCGAACAACAGCTCTGAAAGCCAGTACTTAAGTTAACAGCTCAACACAAACCAAAAAACAGCCGTTCAGAGAACACTTTTCACCGAATATTACTGAAATTAAGAGCAATTTCCATTTCACGGAGAGCATGTGAGTATCAGTTTTATAAAAGAGGCAGGAAAATGAAGTTTTCATTGCTCCTAAGTGTAAAGATTTTCATACCATTCTAATTTTTCCCCCGTGTGTGTTCAGATCCAAGATTGACCACCTCCACGTAACACAAGCAGTCTTGAACACAGTTGTTTTTCCTGTTACAAGTAGGGTCAGCCTAATGTAAGAACTTGGAATTTCCTATTAATTTCTGTTGTTTAGGCTTTAAATGGTAGTCTTTTCCAGATTCAGATAGCCTATTGAAGAAACAGCTTTTCATCCCTGCCAGTAGAATTGTTCCAACACACTTGATAGAGTAGTTTGTACTAACACCATGTAGGTACTGCAGTAAAAATCAGCTCAGTTAGTTTGGCAATTTTTAAAAATTAGGCCACCATGGAACTTATTAAATGTTTAATCCAAAACCTAAAGCTAGCCTATCATCTATCACATGATTTAAATGTGCAAAGAATGAATGTGGCTTAGAACAGTTTATACCACCAGACGTACAATTCAGAACCATTAGATGCATACATAGTAAAAAACCAATATGCACAAGTGTCATCATGTATTTATTCCAATTGAAAAAATTGTTCCAGCTCAGCTTAGGATGAGTTACAACCTATTACACGAGCTTGAAAATCCATTTTCAGAGTCATTCTAAGAACGTGAAGAGAACTCCTGCAGCATTTTTACTGATGGTGAGAAGTGTTTCAATTACAGGACTCCATTCAGAATCAGATTCTCTTCCAGATGCCCCACCTATGGCGAAGCCAGCATGCAAGTCTGTTGAAAAATGAACAGCTGAATTAGGTCTACTGAGGTCAGTCTTTAGTTGTTTAACCTGGGTTAAAATCTGAAAAAGCTTTTCCAAGACAGCCTGACTTTGCCAAACCAGCAGCTGCTTTACTGCTTCTTCATAGTTACTATCATTGTGAAAAAATAAAGAGACCATATTTTATATAGGCTTCAAACTTCCAAGAAACAGAAAGTTCTAAGTGATGGTTAGACCTCCAGAGGTCCTGCTCAACCCAAACTGTACCATGAAGAGAAAAATTAGATGGAGACCCTTCCAACATAAGAACACAGAATGACCTCCTGAGCAGGGGTACACACCTGCTCTAGCAGCAGAATCATTCCAATTAGGAAACACAGACAGGTATCTTCCCTAACATATTAAAATTAATGAAATAGCTGCATCAGCACTGCCATTTATGAATTCAACATTTATTCTTGTTCTTCCTGAACTATAAATTTGGAAATGCAATTACTGTAACAATCATTTCTTGTAGAAAAAACATCACATTGTGGCTGACCTCCAGCTGAGGTGGAACCACCAAATGTTTTGGATGATAAAGGCAAATAAAGAGCCAAATTGACTATGCTACTTAGTGCTCTGCTACTTTTTTCTCCTTATTCACCAGATTTCGTAAGGCACTCTAACCCTTGATGCAGCATAATGCAGGAAATATATTCACAGGACTTCAAAATGAGAAGATGTGTTTTCAAGCTTTCCATCAGCTTTTCCTAATAATTGTTAAACCACAAGTAATTAGTGGGCATAGAGGAATTAGGAATTAGTGGCACTAGTGGGCATAGAGGAAAACTGCATGACATACAGTTTTTAAACAGTTGACAGATACTGGTTCTATTATTAGGACCTGGAAGAAGAGAATTAAAAAAACAGTTGTCCCCTCCAGGCCACTCCCCCACCCCCAATAAAAGTGATTTAGACAAGGAATGGAGGTGGAAAATAAAAAACAAGTGAGAAGGAAAAAAAAAATCATATAGGGTGAATGAATACCTTTCTCCACAACTCTAACTCGGATTTCTCCTGGTTTGACAACAATGTCAGGTGGGTTCTTGACATCGCAAATGTACGTGCCGTTGTCCCGGAACTGCATGTTTGATATAGTGATAGAAGCATCTTTCTTGTTAAGATCTCCAGCCCAAGTGATCCTGTCTTTAAATGGTATGTCCTTTCCAGGGTATGACTTCCCATTAGAGTAATAGAAAAACTGCAGCCAAGGAAAAGAGGATATAAGAACAATCCAATTAGCAAGTGTGGAGCCACCGTGCTTCTCCCACTATTACAGCACTCTCCCAGAGCCAGCTGTGTTACAAACAGCCAGTAGGTTACAAACAGCTGAGGTTTTTCTCCTCCTGCCTCACCACTTCAGCCTGTCTTGTTGCCTTGTTGCACATAACCACGCTTCTACTTCAACCATACCAGAACAAGAGACTGCAAGTTTCGGTTTTCTGTTGGTTTTGATTTGATTTTTTTTTTGTGGATTGGCTGTTTTGGTTTTTTTGGGGTTTTTTTTTCTGTTTTGCAGGGGACAGAGTTTTACAGACAAGGAGGTGGGGGAAAGAAAAAAACCTGGTAACCTGGTAATAATTAAAGGACAGAGCAGTCCTGGAACACAGCCATCTGTCTTTCAGGCACAGGAAGCCGCCTGCATCCCAGCAGAAAAAGGATACCAAGTTTCCCATCTTATGTTTTGCTGTGTGTTACTTGCAACTAAAGCACAGCTAAATTAACAAGCAATACTCTTCCTTCCACCCCCTCAGAAAATCCCATGACCAATTTAGAGTATATCTAACTGTTTTCCAGAAACCTTCAGGTAACTAAATATAACTGTTTCCCAGTTTTTAAGTGACTAAGCTGCACATTGGCTCTGCATTCCCCATCCAAGACCAAAAATCTTTGAAGAATAAACCTCCTTAGTACAGACTAAGGAGGAACTGAGTATTTCCTAACTATACCTGCCCAAAATTGGAATTTACAGCAGTAGAAGTGCATAGGACAACTCTGCTTTCAAACATATGGGATACCCTAAGAGAGGCATCAAGGCTGCAGGAGAAGCAAGAGAACATTCTTTCTTAATTGGATATCCTGCAGGACTGCAAGATAAATCTAATCAGGAATCAACCTGAACTCCCTTCATTTCAGTCTCCAGAGAACAATGAAAGAAATTTAGGACAATTTTCCAGCTTCCTCTTCCTCCTGCCTTATTTACAAAGCAGTGGCTCTGCCACAGAACAGACTGCCTACAAGAGAGTCATATTTACATTCAAGTCACCTCCTATCCCTTTTCCTGCCCTTGATCTCAGATTTGCTGTTCCAACACCCTCTCTATCAGACCTGCACTGTGAATATCAGGCCTTATCCCTCTGCAGCACAAATCTTGTCCAGATCAGGTATGTGCACATCATGGCCATTTGTCCTAATACAGTCAATCTTACTTGTTGTCTAGAGATTAACATAAATTAAGTATTTTATACAGTAGAGAGCTGGCAAGCACACAGCCAGCTGTCAACATTGGAGGGACTCTGCATCGGTCTACAGCTTTTCCAGCTGGATTGTAACCTTTAACACAGCAGCACTGCACTACCACAACCCTGTGCACAGGGGAAGTCATCCCACTGAAGTCTAGAAGGCCAGAGGCAGATTCCTCAGCTCTCTAGATGTCCTCATCTGAGGGAAAAGAAATCCCAACGTAAAATATGTCCTGAAACACAAGCTAAGTTATTCAAGCCATGCCTTGCCTGTGGTGGAGTGAGATGAGACTTTGGAACACGTGGTGAGGGAAGGAGACAAGCAGGGGAAGCTCCCAGTCAAGACAGCCTCACCACATGGCCACAAGATTGCCAGTGTGATTCTAAAGGGACACAGGTCTGCCCTTGTCAACAGAACCATGGGCTTACCTCAGACATAAACTGATCATGAGATTGGTCTTTCAAATTCACACCCACCAAGCTATGCAATGCCATGATTCGGGCTCATAAACAAACAACCCCTCTACACCTTCCCCAGACGCCCAAAAGAAACAGGGAATTAACATCAACTTGTGCTGAGTCACTGCTGCTCAAAGATAATGTGCATTTCTTTCAGTTGTGCAGATTGCTACATCCAGGTGGAACATCTGAACTGACTTCAGTTCCAACAACAATGTTATGTGCTGAAGCTGTATTCCTACAACTGAACAGTGATGCAGAAAGGGAATGGCAAAACAGGATATAGGGGCAGCGGAAAACACACCAACAGATGGCTTCTCTTCACCCATCCTGTTCAGCACTGGCAGGAAATATGCCCAACTTCCCTAACTTCTCCTCAACTCCTGCTTTAGATTCCCAATGGGAAGAGCTCCCTGTTCAAAACTAAGTATTTATTTCACTGAGAATTCAGAAGCTTGTTCTTCAGAGCTCCATCTACTGAGCAAGATGCTCACATACTGGTTTTGACCATCTCTGCTCTGAGCATTGAAGAGCTCCCAAAGTTTAAATAAGCTCATGTCTGCAGCAGAGTGGAGATAAACACAAACAACTGAGCAACCCACTGTCCTCACATCTTCAAAGGTGTCCCAGAGCTCCTTGTTCTGCTTCCTCTAAATTCTCACTCAGGATAAGGAACAAGAAGGAAGCAGAATTGTCTGAGGAAGAAGAGGAAGAAGACAGCTATCACCTACCAAAGCCATTTCTTTGAAGATTTACATCCAAAGGATCTGAGCCCCCTTGGGCCCAACATACAGGAACTGAGCCATGACAACTATTATTTGCCTAAGTTCCTTGCTAGCCTGATTTTTCACTTGTCAAGTAACTATAATATGAGGATGTAACTGCTTATTTGAGCTATTCAATTCTGTTCTGAAACCAGGGAGACTGCTCTTACTTCAAACCCTTTGAAACAGAGGCTATACAGTACACAAGCAAAATAAACAACATGCACAATACACAATGCAACACCGCAATTACAGTGGTAATTCAAATTCTGTGACTGCTATATTCAGTCAAGTACAAAAGGATAGAGGATTTACAAGATTCCTAGATGCTCATCTACTTCATACATATAGTTTCCACACCAACATCCCTCTCCTAAGACTAATAGAGTAATGTTACTAACTAATGTATTCTGTGGTCACTGCCCACTCCAGTTTTGGCAAAGATCCAGCAGACCGCAATATTTTCATACAACACTAAAAAAGCCCCTCAAAATGACAGTGATGGAGATAAGGCACACAAATGAGGGCCCAATCCATATTTGCTTGCTCCTTAGAACCAACTAGAAGACCACAGCTCACCTATGCCAGCCTCCCCTCCCAGGTCTGTTCCCCTCCAGCCATTGCTTACTGAGATACGAGTGGCTGCTCCCTCTGGCTGAAAGCTCCAGGAGACAGATGCTGCACTGCTGATCACTTCTACGGATGTGAACGTGCATGGGAGCTTTGCGTCCGTCCCGTTCTCCACAAACATCTCCTCCGGGGTGTTGACCTCTACTGCTGATACTTGGACTGCATGGCAAAGGCAAGAAAGGAGAACAAGACACATCAGTGCTGCTTTGAGAATGAGGAAGTACACATTACACTGCCTAGAAGGGCAGAAGAGAAGAGGCATCAGTAACTCCTGCATTGGGTGATTGCACAGACATTGCATTATACCTCCAGTCAAACAGTATAGAACAGGCCAAGTACAGTCACTTCTCCTTCCTTGTATTATCTGTGACAGGATGTTTTCCATTCACAGATGTTTCCTCTACAGCACTTTGTGGAAGTCAATTCTATGGTGCAAAGGATGAGTTTAATACTTTTTCGTACCAGCTGATAGCAAGCATTATAATAATGAAGCCTAATAACCTGGTCCAGCTATTACTCAGTTTCCTCTCTGGCACACATATTGTTTTGTATCTCCAGATTTTCCTAGCTGTACGTAAAACAAAAGCTCACCTCCACAAAGATGAGGAGCAAACTTCTCTTGCTCCCAGCTCTGCCATCTACTCCTGCTCTCTACCATGGCTCCAAGGTCTGTATGTGCAAGGTCTCACAAATAATCACTCGGTTATAGTAGTTTAATTTTTTTCTACCTTATGCACAGTGAAAACAGCAAGCAGACCACAACCCCCCAAATTTAAAGTAATCAAGGTTAATGTTGTGCTTTTACTGGTAGTTTTCCTAACAAATAAGTAACAGTCATCATGATTCGGAAAATGTGTTGAAGAGATTCTTTATCTGGAACGTTCTAAACTGCCAATGCTCTATCCCTATCCAGATTTAGGCAGATACATTTCTACATTCATTCAGGTTTGTGTAGAAGAACAAAGCATGATCTTGTGACATCACAAGAGAATGTCTGTCAGCATTCATGTCACACCACGTGAAAGCAAAAATCTTGTCAAGTCAGTGTGGGTGGGAGCACATGTAACGTGTGTTCCTGGTACCTCAAATACAAGTTTTGGTTTTTATTAAACCATGATTTTCAGCACAGAGATGCTAACAGCAATCTACTTCTGTTCATAGGATTCTATATTTCTGGGCTCCAGTACCTTAAATCCCCTTGGTAGAACAAAAGAACAAACCTTCCTGCTCCATCAGTACCTCAGCCGATTTGTTTCTCAGCTTTGAATGAAGTAGCTCGAAATAACCAGACCAATCAGAAAGATGCAAGTCAAAGACTGTTCAGATAAAAAGAAAGAAAAGAAAAACCCACCTGTTGTACATTGGACCTGATTAGCATAAAAGATTTGATAATCAGGATGCCTTGGCAAGAACAAACAGAGCTTTGAAGACTTGGAGAAGATTGAATCAAGACTGGCTGACAGGAAGATTGGATCAATTTCTGCAAGCAAGAGATGTTGCAAAATGTGTAAGTTCATTTACGTGATGATTAACCCAATCATTGTAGTAAGAAATTACTAGCCTTACTAGCCTTCCTAGATAGTTTATAAGAAATTTGCACAAGAAATTTGGATTCTGACCACCAGTCAGTCTCCCCATGTCCCTCATCATCACCAATACCCACTTACATTAGTCTGTAAATCATGAGGTTTGAGTTTTCAGTCAGTGAGTGCAACCAGCTCAGCAGTCTTCAGAAGCTGGACAGCAAACATCTGACAGAATGAGCATGCAAGCAGGGGTGGGAGAATTGAGCACATCGTAGTAATTGCAATAACCAAAACCAGAAGAAAACACCATTCATTAATCCTGCTGTTCAGAGTCCACACAGTTCACTTCCAAAATTCACTAACTTCTCAGTCCCATTAGGTTATGTCTTGATACCTCAGATTCTCCTGTCATCACTGCTCTCATTTCCAAGAGAAAAAGTGCCCCAAGGGGGCTGGCGAGTAGGGGTGGTGAATTTTCATCATGAGGTTCTATCAGAGCTTCCTTCCTCTTGTACATATTCTGACTATGGGCCAAAAACTATTCTTTTGTAAAACAACTACCAAATATTTATTTGGAACATACAAAGACTTCTAGCAATCAAATTAAATTAACTGAGAGCTGCTGTGCTTTATGTATTTTTCCAGCTAATGGTGAAGAAAAGAAAAATTAAATCAAATAAAATCCATTGTAGTAAGCCCAAACCACAGAACAAACCTCCCTTTCAAGCATAAAACAAGCAAGATGCCCTCAGTATTTGTGTAGGAAGAAAAGAGTCTGCACAGACATTGTCTGCTTGTACATGGTACAGAGAACTCCTTGCCACACACAGGCAGTGGGTAGCACAGATCTGCCTAAAGAAGTCACTGTTCTAACTCACTATAACTGTAGTGAAGCAAAAAATCAAAAGAAAAAAAGGACTTCTCCCTACTTCTTCCCTTCCTTCTGGGAAGGAAGGAACTATGTAATCCTGTACAGATATTTCTATCAAGTTTAATTTTCATCTGTCCTATTGTTGGCTCAATTTAATGTTCTTCTTTGCTGATTTTCTCCCTTCTGCCTCTTTCATTGCTTCAAAAATATTTTTCCTGCTTTTGTAGCCTTACAGCATAAGACACAGGCTCCTTAAATCATAACCTGTTCGGTAGAGAGGCCACAAGATTTGTCAGTTGTTCACCCTCAGTCCTCTAATCCCGTACTTTAACTCATATAGTGGCTGTTCCCACTACCTTGAGCTCTTTGGCCTCCTCTGTCATAATAAAATCCACATGGATCATCTCCAGCTCTAGCTCTTTTGCCAGGATTACATCCACCTTCCAGCTCCTACACCTATTTAACTATTCCAGTTGGAGAAAATTGAATTTTGAGTCATATTTCAGTCACACTTATACACTGCTCTATTCCTCAAGTTTACTCAGCCTTAGTTCCTCTCAAGAGGAAAAAATTATCACAGGAAACTGTCTGAGAGAGAAGAGTGCTTTAGGAAGGGAAGGTCAGCAAGGTACATAGGGCAAAATTAAACATGTGCTCTTCTCCCATGCATCCTCCTTGATCCCATCACCCTGTCCAACTGCCTGTAGCTGCAGTATTTCCTTCTGAACCTCTCATCTAGCCTTCAGCTGCTTTTATTCTATTCAGCACAAAAATGGTTCTAATTTTCTCACCTATCATCCAAATAAGTTGGAAAAAAAAACTCCACCTGTGCCTCTTCAGCTATTTCTTTTAAATCTCTAGTGTTGTTCGAGCAGTTTCACTCCAACTACAGTAACTTTTCTCCAGCTCCACTTTCAACCCCCACACTGCAATAAGAACTCTCCATCCACACCTTCCTTTCCAGACAATCCTCCTGCTCTTGAAATAGGATAAGACACTCATATTCTTACTATCTTACTAACCTTACTTACTAATATTTTCTTATTTTTCCAGCATGGATCTTCATTCTTCCATGAACGCTCTCTCTATTCTCAGGTCTCTTTGCTTGGTATCTCACCTCAGAGATCTCATCTGCAAAACAAGCTCAAGCTCCATCACTGCAGTGACTACTCAGATCTGTGTCTCTGCTCAGGATCTGTCTGCTTATGTTCAAAGAACAGCCTCAGCATTGACAGAGATGTCAGACTAAGTTGTCAGCTCACACTAAATGGATCTAAAGCAGAGCTCAGAGCCCTCCACAACTGCTTTTACCACCATGGACCTGCCACGTGTCTGTCCAACTCAACACCTGTGCAGCACCTCTGACTTTGAACTCTTCACAGGTCAAGGCAGAGTATTTCAAATTTTCCAGTCACCTGTTCAGCTGACACCAGAATAAAACCTCCAGTTTGTACCTTGACTTTCATTATTGTAATGTCCTTTTTGCTCTGGACAGATGGACAGTTATCAGTGGTGATGAGAGATGGGGAAGACTGACTGGTGATGAAAATTTGAATTTACAGTGGACTACATATGCTTATATACTATTTTAGGAATGCTACTAATTTTTACTACAATGATTGGGTTGATCATCACAAACTTATACATTTTGCAGCATCTCTTGCTTGCAGAAGTTGATTCAATCTTCTTTCCTGTCAGCCAGTCTCAATTCAGTTTTCAAAGCTCTGTTTGTTCTTGCCAAGGCATTACCATTACCAGATCTCTTATGCTAATCAGGTCCAAAATACTCTGTCTTGTGTGCCCCAGCAGACAGCAACAGACCAGTAAGTACTGCAGTTCCTGGTAACCGAGCTGCTCCAAGGGTGACACTAAGAACAGGGGGACATCACATATGCAAGATCACTGCTTCCTTCCATGAAGTGGAAATGACACCAAGCACCCCTCCCTGTCTCAGTATGAAGAGATTCTTGTCCCCAACCACACTGTAGTACTGGTCTCATCCAAAACTTTTCAAATCCAAACTGTAGCACCTCCTCCTAAATGCTGTCCCTCAGGCTTGGGAGGATCTGTTCAAAACCTGAAAAATCCTTTCACTTCCTTTGAGCCCTCCAAAGCATGTGGTAACTGCATCTGTATGAATCCAACAGTGCTTAAGCTGCCAGTGTTTGGAGATCAACACCTTTTAAAACTGAAGTCATCTTTTCCTACTTTTACTTGTACCCCCTGGTTGTTTATACTGGCTTCATAGTGATCTTTTTAAAAAAACATTTTGGGCAAAAATTGGTTTTATTCTACATTTTTTACGTAGAAATACAGCTGACCATTTGGTTTGGTAGCATACCACAAAGAAATTCTTCTGTGCACCGAAGTTTTACACTAATTAACACATAGATAATTACAATTTCTTTGCAGACCACTGTTTCTGAGATCTTGGGTCCAATGAAAACGTTCTGTTAATTAAGACTGTGAACACACCAAAATAAATTCAATTCCCGGGGATTCAACTCAGTTTGATCACTAGAAGACCTAACAAACCAAGAATGCAAACAGCTAACATTGTAATCACAGGCATCTTATTTCTACCAGTACAAACACAAACTTTCACCACACTGCTAAATACTGGATGCTTATAGCTGCTGCCATTCCCATCCTATACCAGGAAGAGTCTTACTCCCCTCTTCTTGAAATGGCTAATCATCAGTTTATTAATTAATACAAGCAACTTGTTTTGCTTATCTTACAGACACCTGGTAGTACAGGCA